GTTCCAGCGCATGGAGCACGTGCGCAAGTACGCGTTCGGCGTCGCGCTGATCATCGGGGAGGAGAAGCGACACGACATTGTGGCGCTGTGGGTGTTCCGCGGCAAGGGCATGCCGGAGGTTGTGGCGGCGGTGGAGGACACGGAGCTGTTCGACTGGGAGGAGGTGGCCGACGTCGTGGCGCAGCGGGAGCGCATCACGGACTACCTGTGCTGGGAGGGCCCGACGATCCCGAAGCCCGTGCTGGAGGGGCGCGTGTTCAAGTGAGCGTGCGGGTGCGTGTGCGTGTGCGTCTAGGTAGGTGGGATAACACTAACATTAACTGTGAGGGTGTAAGGGAAGGGGACGGAGGCGCGGAGTGGCCATGTGTTTGTTTTGTTTGTTTGTTTTCTGCTGCGCCTGCCTCCTTGTGGTGGTGGTGGTGGGGCGGGGGGGTGCGCCGCTCCCATCGCGGAAGGGGGACGGGGAGGTGTCTGCGGTGTGACTTGTTTTTCTTTGCCTCTGCCCCGTTGAGGGGGAGTTTGTTTGTGCCCAAGACGACACACAAGTGACAAGAGTGCGGATGGCTGGCCGTGTGCTGTTGGTGTGCGCCCTCTGCCTGCTGTGCTGCTGCGGCGGCTACACGGAGAGTGCCTCGCATGTGCTTGAGAGTCGGATGGATAAGACTGAGGCAAAACTGGGAGATTTCTTTGTTTATAATGCGATTCATGTGAAGGCGATGAAATTGAAAGGAGCACAAATTGTGGATGTTCCGCTCGCCTCGGTGCAGGCACCAGAAAGTGGCTCGAGTGGGTCTCCAAGTGGCGAGTTGGGTGGAGGTGGATCTGATGGTGCTGCTGGCGGTCAAGGAGGGCGGGCCTCTCCATCTGTTGGGCCGCCCACAAACCAGCAGGGCGCCTCGGTGTCAAGTTCTCCTTCGCAGGGAGCCATCGAACGTGGCACAACCCGCACTCCGGCTGGGGGTGCGTCTAGCGGAGGCCAGTCGAACCCGTCGAGTCATGTTGGCGCAGAGGAGTCCAGAGATGTGACGGCGCCGGTGTCGCAGTCCCAAGGACGATCAGCGTCACAGCCTGGCGGTTCACACTCAGTAGCTTCGCAAGGTACGTCGGAAGGGAAAGGGGGACACGGCCGTCAGAGTGGCGGCGACGATGAAGCAGAGGCAGGCAATCAAAAAGAAGGGAAGCACAACGCTCCGTCAGAGACAAAAGAGCAGGGAGGCACACGAGAAGCTGCACACACTCCAGTTGTTACGGTGAATACACCAGCTGGCGGCAGCAACGAGGAGTCTCTCCCGTTATCTGCAAGTGACGGCGTTGGTGCTGCCAGTGGTCAGGCTGGACGGCCCACTACGGGGGACAGCAGCGACACTCAACCGCCCGTTCCTGCGGTAACATCGGGAGCGGCATTTGACGGTGCCGCTGGTGCACCAACGAACGGTGCGAAGGGAACAACGAGACCGCCAGCCGCCAACACCATTACAACTGGCAGTGACAGCAGCAACGCGGTCTCGCACTGCACCTCCCCTCTCGTGCTTCTTCTCTTTGTGTTGGGGTCTGCTGCGATGGTGGCAGCGTGAGACACAGAGAGAGAGAGAGAGGAGGGAGTCGTGCGCAGCTCCTTCTTCTTTTTGTTTCTCTCTTTGTGTGTGTCCTCCTACACGGACTCCCGCCCTCGCCTCGCCCCACGAGGCACACACAAATAATGTGCTCATACATACACGTCCACTCGTGCAGCTCGTTGGTTTTTTTAATATTTTGCCTTTGACGAACCGCCGCTGCCGTCCTGCTTGGCTGCGTGGGTGGAGCACCGTAACTGTTTTTATCATTTTGATTGTTTCATTGCTTTCGGTGGGCGACCTTTCTCTCTTTCTCTTCCTGAATTGGGCTGTGCGGAGGGGGAAGGAGGGAGTGTGTGTGTGCTGGTCGTCCCACTGCTCGGCGGACGCCTTCACCCTTCGGCTTCACTTCACGGGGTTTGTTTTGTGTTTCTCTGTTTGTTTGTGTTGTTGCTTTGATTGACCGCACCCATTCCGCAGCCT